ACGTAACAGTGTCAGACCCGGCGCCTTACAATCGATTTCCCCTCGTATTTGTCGGATCACCAGGTTTGAGTCTCTGCAGATCACCAGACACTATCCAGATCTTCCACCAGATCCAGACATAGCAGCAGACCATGGTATTCCGTCTCATTCACCGTCAAGCCTTCGGCATATCCTGATCTAGCTTTCAACACTCTCCACTCGGGAAGCTTTCACAAGATCGCGCTGTAGGCGCCTCCACCTCTCTTGACACGGGCTGATCCATCGAAACTGACGACATATAGCTTATCATCTTGTCTAATAGTGGGGATCAGAGCTTGGATCTTACGTCGTGGCTCCTTCTTGGGGGCGATCGAGATCAACGCCTTATCCACTTCTGATCTAGGGGTAATGCTGGCAGCCAGTGTTCCCAAGATCTCATCCTCCCCTTTGACACACTTGGTGATCTCAAGTGTCCAAGGCGACAACAGAGCGGCCCATTGCACTAAACGTCCTTGTCAGGCCGTGGATCTGAAGAGCCACGCCAATGTTGAGTGTCGGGTTAACACATAGATCGGACGCCCGACCAAAGCATTGTAATAAAGATCCAGGATCCTCAGAAGGGCTAGTACCTCCTTCTCCGCGATGCCGTAGTTTAGCTCATTCGACTTCAGAGTACGGTTTGCAAACGTCACGGGATGGTAGATCTGGTCGTATTCTTGCATCAATGCTCCCGAGATGGCCCAGTCGCTAGCGTACACCACCACTGTGGCCTTCCGATCTGGGTCAAAGTGTTGTAAGATCGAAGTTGTAGCAATCCTGGTTTTAAGCACGTTGAAGGACCGATGAGCATGGATCCAACGTGGATCTACCTCAATAGGGTCGGGCCCCTCCAGATCCGAGGTCCTTCGGTGGTCGACACCCCGATCTTCCTGCGATCCTTGATCTGCGTCCTCCGCTTCTAGTACTTGTTAGACCCGCGCTTGGGTAGCCCCCTTCGTCATCGCAGCAAAGTCGATTTCTCGCAATTCGTACAGAACCGACGCGTAAATCGCGTAGTCTTCAATAAATCGGCTATAATAGTTCAGACTTCCCAAAAATGATTGCATAGCTCTGAGTGATCCTGGAAAGGCTAGATCAGTTAATACAGACAGATCTTTCGGATTCGCCTCCAGTCCATTGAACGAGACCTTATGTTCAAGGTATTCCACCTTAGGCATTCCCCAAAAGCTCTTCACACACTGATCGACAAATTCCACTCATCACACGCTTTGAGTAGATTTT